CGGAGATCTCCGACACCGGTGTGGTGTGCGACTTGCGTGCTGAGTGGCCGGGCTCTCCTCATGCCACTCTACGGCCAAGCCGTACACCTGCTCGCCGGAGATCTCCGACACCGGTGTAGTGTGCGGCGTGCGTGCTGAGTGGCCGGGCTCTCCTCATGCCACTCTATGCTCACGCCGGACGTCTGCTCACCGTGGCCTGTCGCCATAATCATTCTTTCCGGGCCCACGAGCACCGCCTCGGCAGAGCGGTCACGCCCCGGAGTGGCAAGTCCCAGACGCACAGCGGGCCTGAGCTTGTAACAATGCACCAAAAAAGGCGGGATACTGGGAGTACAGTGTCAACGATGACACGCTCAGCGGGCTTTTTCAGCGCACCGCCTCGTTCGTTCTGCCCAAGGAGTTGCCGCCCTGAAGCAGCTGTGTTTTGCCTCAACGCCTTTGACGAGGCGGAGCCGGTGACGAAAGCAGCCGTCTGAGTTCCCAAACCTAGAGGAACGAGCGACGGAAGACCGGAAGTGAGGCCCAACGGCACACTCTCGCTGGCGTATCCGGCTTCCTCGCAACCATGTCGGTAGCACACATAGAAGCCTCCTGTTCGCAGGACGGCGACCTTATCTCTTTTATGCCGTGGAAAGACTTTGGCGAGCCAAGTGCGCCGAGCGGAGTCGGTATGCGGTGTAGGAGATTTTGTCGTCCGTGGACAGCATTTCTCCGGCGTAGTGCCAGGACCTTGCAGATTACTGCGTTCGACAGGAGATGTTATGGCGTTGTAGATGAGCAAGGTCAGACGAAGCAAGGGACGGCAGAGCGAGGAATGCACGCAGAATGCCTATCCAGACGTCAGCTTGAACTTCCATCGACCGTATATTGCAGGAATCGATTTACTCACTAAGCCAGACTTCTTGAAGGAAGGAAGGACGACGATGAGGAAGACTCCAGAAAGCGTTGAGGAGAGAAGAGGAGGAGCAAGCTCAGCCGAGAGGGGTGCCGCTTGCCCGCAAACCCTGACATCTTGGCAAGCCATGACTGGATGAGGAAGCTGCACTGCCGTTGCTCATGGAAGGATCCGAACACCCGTGCAAACGAATCCGGCAGTTGCAGCTGGCCAATTTGCCGGTATGCTCGCCTGAGTACGATGCTCGCAATTTGGTGTCGCCAGCAACGAGCATGAGGCGTGTTACTATTGAGGCCGGTACAGCTCACTCAACAGACGGTATCGCCATGGGCACCTCTTCGTATGGAGCCTCCGAACGCATCCATCGCCGCCATATCATACTCTTCACACCCCGGACCAATTGAGCCATGTCTGCCTCAGGCACCAACATTTCCATGGCCGGCGACGACGTTATGGTGTGGCCGAAGTAAGCCGGTATGAGATGTTGGGACCTCGGAGTGTACTTGCTCGCTCTCTGCTACCGCAGAAGGTGTTCGGTGCGAAAGCCTGCCATCGCTGCCGATCATATCAAAGGTCTTGGCGTTGCCGGAAGCCGCTGATGGGTGGCCATCCTTACAGCGGTGGTTATGATGTGTTGTCCGCACACATTGAGGGCCAGAAGGCTCACCTCCGTGCTACAGAGCTTCTGGCGAATCTCTCGTGCCGGTCGCTTGCTATTCGTGCCGTAGTATCGGTATCTCGCGCCCGCCTTGGATCCTCTTATCACGCAGCGGTGGGTTTTGCCGTAGCGCGGAGGCCACCGAGTGAGTGGCGACTGTTCTCGGAGGCACTCGCAGTGCTGTGGGCGGTGCTATGATGGAGTATGAAGTGATTAAGCTCGTCGTCGCCGCTCCGGAGTAGGCGATGGAGGCTGGTGTGAGGATTTTGCTGTGCGCACCATGGTATCAGCATTGTCAACACACTCAACCATTGTCGTTGAGTGTCTGAGCTGCACCAGGGTGCATGAGTGAGGGCTCACCTTGCTGTCGCGGCCACGCCGCGGGCCTTGGCAGGCTGTGAGTGAGTCTGCGGTGATGCCGCCGAGGAGTTTGAGGGCTTCAGCAGCTACTCAAGCACACCATTGTCGTCTCCGCTCACAAGACTCAGTAGTCTGGGCTGGAGGATGGGCTGACGGTGCTCTCGCGACTCCGCTGTCATCGCTGCCACCGCCATGGCGCGGAAGAGGTGCCGCGAGGGAGGGGGGGAGTGTAGCGTGGGAGTCTGAAAATCTCTACCAAGCCCCGGAAGTTGGATGTGCAGTCTCAACGCTGGAAGCGGAGGTCGGTGGTGCAGTGTCGCTCGTGCGAAGGGTGACGGTGATGTTGTCAGAAGGAAGTCGCCGTCGTAGGCATGAGGGAAGGAGCACGCAGCAAACCCCCAGCAGTGCCTGCCGTGAGTCTTGGCAAAAGCGTCTCCGCACCGCATGGGCCATCGTCAAGCTTTCGCGCTACCATACTTTACTTTGACGTCCTCCCTTCTCCTTGACGGCGTGCCGGTGATCACAGAGTCCGTCTTCTGTATCTGAAGACTTACGGAAACGATCTCAGCGAGCACAAGGAGCTTTCGGGCCACCGCACGGTTCGAGGAGGGGGACAAAGCGTCCACGGCTCACATAGGCACGGCGGAGAGGCGGAGGCGCATACACCTACCGCCGGAGACTGCTGGAAAACGAGCACGGCAGCGCACTTTACTCGACCAAGGGCACCATCACAGGCCCCATCCTGCTACTATCTCTGCAGCCGAGCGCAGCAGGCGCTGAGCGTCATACTGGCCGAGCGGGGAGAAGAGAAGTGCAACGGGGATCTGGAGCGGGCACACGATACACCAGGCGCCGCAGTGGAAACGGAGAGTCTGGCAGGTCAGACACGGGTGCGGGCTCAAGCACTCGGCAGAGTAGACTTGCTGCGACGATGCAGATGGACAAGAGTCCAGGCGTGACTATGTGACAGGGGCGAGCGCTGGGGCGGCATGAAGCCAGCGAAGTGTCTCTATCTATTCTTCGTACTAGCTGACTTTGGCTGCCCAAGCTCAATACCGGCAGATTCGCCCGGTCTTCCCGCTCCCAAGTGACCCTCGTACCTTTATGCCTCCCATTCTTCTTGGTGTCACGCTCCCGGTAGCACACGAAAGGTTGGCTTCACATGGCAGCCAAAGCCTAGACGTCGCACCCTCCTCGCATTCGGTACGACGCAAGATACACGGCTCATCGCATGACGGTGACGCAAAGGACTCAAGCAATCACTTCCTAGACGCAGTCTCTACTCCCCAACCGCCCGTCTTTACCGTAAGTCCTATTGCAGGTAGCCAGCAGCAAGCTCAGACACAGCAAGCTCAGACACGCGATTTTGGAGAGACGCAGGCGCTGGCGGTGCAGACTGACTACATCCGAGATCTTGCGGCCGAAATTTGCTGGTGTGACTCAAACTTTGGCTGTGTTTTTAGCTGAAGCCGGTATAATCATTCCTTCTCTGCCATCATATATGTACACTGATGTGACTCATGTGCGTCGTTAGCAGTCTCTCCGCCATTGCGTTACTCATCTTAAGCTACTTTGCGCATGCTATCGGCATACCAGCTGCGTCTTTCCACGGAGACACAAACAAGTCAACACCTCAGTCGCTGCATCTTGCCTCCGGGAAGGCCGTCCGGTAGTCGTATCCCTCCAAAGAGAACACGGCGTGCATCCACAACATGCCCTTCTCTCGTAGCCCATCCAAGGTGGTGTGCAATGACATGACCAAAACCTCCACCGGCGCATGGCCATCGCTCTCCCGCGCAGAGTGTAAGCGCCCGCGGTATTCCAGACTGCACCAGCCCATCATGTAATTCCATTCCGGTGAGAACTTGATCTGCAGCCCCACGCATCCCACAGCAGCTCTTCTGGCGTCTGAATTCTTCGACGGGTCGAAGTACTTGTGTTGTAGCCGGTAGGAGGGCAAAACAGCCCGCGCGTCGAAGTCGGAGATGACGATGCCGACTTTGTTGTTCGTGTAGTACCGTGTGAGCGTCTCACGACGGACTTGATGGCACACGCGAAGTAGACAGGGTTGCTTTGGACCGTCCTCAGTGATCGAGATTACGGTGAGTGGGTCTTCGAGAATCGCGTAGTTGAAAATCTGCTCGCGGAGCTCCTTCGGTAGAGCAAGGAGACTGCAGGGATTCGTAGTCTGGGCGATGTGAAGGCTCGCCAGGTCCTGTGCTTTGTTAGTGATGTGACTTTGACGACCTTCCACCTTGCGAGTTGCGCCTACGTTGATCATCGCCAGCTCGGCCATCGACACGCCATCTCCGCTCATGTCGCTCGAAAGTGCGTCGGTATCTTCGCCGCTTTGCGAAATTTCAAAAGAAGCCATGGTGGGTCTTTTATTTTGATTCGATGTGCTGTCACGAGGAAGTGTCGTTGATAATTGGTGTTCAAGTCGCAGTGTTGGAGGTGGGAGAGTGTGTCGAGGGTTGAATGCTTGAATGTGAGAAGTGAGGTGTTGGGGTGGAGCGATCCGCAAACGATCGCACCTGAGCAGGCTTTTGCGGCAACCATACCATGAGAACGTTGCACAATATTGCGCACTTCGATGAATTCAACGACAGGCTATGAAAGGTTCTCATGAGAACACCGATTTGCTCTTAATGTACTGCGTGATCTGGGGGCGTGAAAATCGAAAGCGGGTGTTTTTGAATGGGTCCGCGACAAAATTGATCTAGCCTTCGCGCAATGGTAGACACAGTCACGCAGACCGGTACTCGTACAGGCAACAGTGATCGGATGCCATTTGAGGGCTTTAGTGTTGGATGGGTCAGTCTTGTGTAGCAGTAAAAGGCGTAAAAGACTGGCACATAAAGCAGACTTGTTGTAAACTCCGACAGCACGCTCGCCAGTGATGAACGAGGAAGAAAATGCAAAAAAGAAGACACTCTCGCGCGTATCTTGTCCCATCCTCCACCACCACCACTTCGCCGTTGCCGTTGCTGCTGCACGCACCTGACAGAAAGGAAACACACTTATACTTACTGCTTGAATGTTCGCAGTCTCCCCACTGTCCCACTCGCTCGCTCCCCGTTCTTGTATTGGTCGGGGCAGGAATCGAACCTGCATTCATTGGGAAATGTCACAAGTGACAACCGATGTCCTACCATTAGACGACCCGGCCCGAATATTTGATGAAATACAGTAGGATGGTGTTTGTTTATTAAGAATAATACTCGTCTGCCGGCCTTCAGCCGACGACGATGGTTTCCGCACATATGATCATGTGTCATGCAAGTTACCATAGCATACAACGTGTACGGCTCACGATGATGTTGCTAGATGCCTTCGTTGCGTTGCGCGACACGATGGCGGTCGCAGTCTCGCGGAGCCCGTCTCGCCCACATTTTACAATCACGTTACGCTTCGATTGAGAACCGAGTCGAGCTAGATGGCACGAACCGCCCCGTCATCTCGGTCTTCTGTTCCTGCTGTGATCTAGAGCATACGCATCACGCACACGGCGTAGCAGGGCTGCGCGATGACACAGGGCCCAGCGGGCATGCACGAAGCCGTGGGTCAAGATGTTCACAGTATCCTCAGGACGATGAGAGACGGATACACGCTCTCATAGGGTGCTTCGAAGGGTGCCCGTTGCTGCAAAGGCTGCCGTGAATGCGATGCTATATATCAGGGCCATCTCGACCCTTCTCGACGACGACCGGCTTTTGCCTGCCTCTGCAGTCATCAAACGTGACTCTAGGCACTAGTCTACGAGACCGCCAACTGGTAAAGCCCCGATCGATGGCTCTTCCATGTACATGTGGCACTTGGCCAGGTCAATGCTCCGTCAGACCACACTCCACCGAAAACGTTTCAAAAGTACGATTGAATGACTTGATTGATCGCGAATTGAGGCGAGCCAGGATCCAAGATGGCCAAGTTGTACGCCGCAAAGTCACCGGTTTGAGCTCAACATCGTTGAGCACCCCTCGATCAAGTAAGAAGGCGGCTCCCGACTCCGAGGTCATGATGAATGTCCGAAAGGTCTCGACTGACCAGGCTTCACTCCAGGCGTGACGGGGTTCGGCTCTGACCTTGACCAACAAGGCCCATCAAAGCGCTGAAAGACAATATCTCACGCTCATCCACGCTGTACCGACGGCGGCTTCGCCATTCGCGACAGCTCCGGTGCTCCGCGACTGACTTCTATTACCGCAGCAGGGACTCTGCGCGCCACCGCACAACCACCCACCGACCGCGCTCTTCGTGAACCACGGCCAAAGGGTATTCGACGACTTCTCCGAATACAAGTCTGTTTGAGAACACAAGGAGATGCTTCAAGCTTGGTGGATGGCGGGAGGTCGTTCGCAGATGAGCAGCTAGTACGCACCTGAGGCAGAGCTCGTCTCTGTATACTCCTCAACACGTGCAGTGTCGAAGAGGGGGCGAAGAATGGAAAGAGGCGCTTTTTGAGGCACAAATGGTAGCGAGATGAAAGTAGGTCTTTCAAGCGGCCGACTGCCCACGGCCTTGAAGCAGTAGTAAGTCAGTGAATTGATCGTTCACGCCGCTGAACTGCCGATCATCTGGTTTTACTGCTTTGGGAGGTCAATAAACCACAATACCACCATCGCACTGGCTTGGCAACTCGTGCGCAAAACCGCGTGTTCTTCGGGACAGGATACCGCGCATCGAGGGGCGCGACAGTGAGTGACCAAAGATGCGCCGAGCGGCAAGCGAGCAGCGAGTCGCTGGTTCTGGCTCAACGTGAAGGAAGGTAGCTACTCTCCTCCCTCATGGCTGTGTACCTTACTCCCGCAACTGGCAATACTAATACACCTTGACTATCCCACCCTCGAGATCTTCTGCCGAGTTTAGCGCGGCTTGGTGGACACGGCTTCCGCGAAATTACTGGTAGGTGGGGCCGTGGATCTTGCGAATCTTCTGCCTCCGGCGGACGATACCGCGTCACGGTCGATGATCGATCCCCGCTGCGGGCCTGCTGCTGAGTGCCGAATCTCGAACACTCGAACGCAGCTCAATGCGGGAGATTCAATTGACGGATAGTAGAAGCGAGGAGAGATGCACAACGCGGAAGCTCTCCACGGCTTTGTCTCGCGTCTCAGAGAGCCGAGTATGCCATCACTCAACACACGGACTCGCCCAGCTTGACCAATGCGCTGAGAAAGTCGAAAATGACGATTCCAGTGGGTATTTCACACCGCACCCATCAAGACGTGGGAGGTTGTCCCTTGCGCAAGATTGAGCGGTACACAGGAGTCAGCCTTTAAGGATTACGAAGCACCTAACCAGGTTTGACTGGACACATACGGCAGGAGTCACGCTTAAGTCTTTTGAACGCATGGAGATGATAGAACAAAGGAAAATTGTATTCGTGATGATGTCGTGGAGCAGTATCTGTATTCGGGAATTGAACGCGCTGGGCTCTCGCTCTACTCACGCTCATGGCTATTGTGTTGTCAAGGTGACGGTGGGCTCCATCCGAGCGCAGGATCAGTCCACTCAACCTGTCATAGAGCAGGTATACCGTATGGGCTCCGTAGCCATCTTCTCTTCTCTGCTGTGGGCTTTTCGGGTCCTATGCAAAGCACAGCCTCCTCACCCACTCTCCCTTGCTTCGAATCCTCCGTGCATCATCTCTTTCGCCCATCATGGTGGGATGGGCTTGTATTGTTCTTCGAGATACTTCGCACCGACAGCTCCGTTGACGTTGAGTGCTGTATTTGGGGTGCCTGGATGCATAGGAAGAAAATCTCGGGTTGAATCTCGATGGGGCCCAGCGTGTGCGACATACCACGGCTTCGATCTTCGCAGCATCACCCGGGTTGATAGATCCGGCGTTTGTAGTCTTCATATCGCTACAACTTATACCCTGCAGCTCTGTGACGTCTCGCTGCCATGCTGAACGGATCTTGTAGAGGACTCTGCCGGCCGGGAATTGTCGTACTTGGTGCCGCTTAGTGTGAATGGATGTCTGTCGAGTGCAACTCAGTGCGTTCCCTTCTACCATGTATCGATCGGCGGGAGGCTGAAGCGGATCATGTGAGGATTGATGGCAAGGACACACCGGAGGAGTGGCTGTATGTGAGTCCATCACAGCTCGGTGCAAGCCGTCTACGGCTTACCTGCTTTCTTTCGGGAGGTTGAGGAAACGATCCTTCGTGTGCTCAGTGAAATCACCACCACTGTAGGTTTCTGTATTTTTCGCTCATGAAGATGCCGAATGATGTCTTCTACGCTGGGAAGATTAATCTCGACCGTCATTCCGGAGTCGGCCTACTAAGTTATCACATTCACGTCAATCTTGGAGAGCGTAGAGATCCTGCTGTGAAACTGATGTGCTTGTTTGATACTCGGAAGTCGGATCAGCTTTTCCTCGTTCCTGCCATTCTCCACATGGGCTATCGGTCTGACATCCTTATACGTCTACCTGCCACTATTAGCGCTGCCGGCTGTGTTCGCAGCAATGCCTTCATCGTGAAGATTGGAAGTGGTCAGTGGAGGACGTGGACCGACTCCTGGTCTGGTATAGACCCACACTCCCGACAAACAAGGCGCAGTCGCAGCTCGCGTGAGATCTGAGAACATTGGTTTCCTTCTTCTTTCTGGGTGGGTCAGCATATCTCTCCGAAGAGAGGGATATTGACTTCTGGACAGCACGAAGTACCGTTCCCGATTGTTTGATCGTACGCAAAGCGTATCAACCGTCACGCCGCCTCACAAACTGCGGGTCCCTGGGTGTGCGTGGCTCATAGATTACAGCCTTGCAGAATCAATACGTCTTGCGGGCCGCGTCGTCGAAAGGGTCAAAATGAAGCCGAGAGTTCGAACGGCCAGTAAATGTGCAGAACTTTGGGGTCTAGGACTACGAGTGTATAACCACCAGCGATTGATTGCTTCTTGTCGTTGTTCGAAAATGATATTATGATGCGTGGAGAAAGGCAAAAAAGAAGACCAGTCCAGTTCCAGTATCCAGCGGACCAGAGTTGCAGGGTTTGAAGCCTGCCGCGCCGGAACTGAAAGCAAACACAAGTCTTACCCTGAGAATCATCCCCACTTTCTCACATCGTCCTCATTTGATGGAGACTGGTACTGAATATATCACATATATACCACCCACGTTTCAGCCGAGCATCTACCGAGGGCGGGATCAACCACATGAGTCCCCAACGCCGCTCACATGTCTTCTTCAGGCCTTCAGGACACGCTTTGGGTCATAATGTCTTGCGATGACAATGCCTATCTACTTGGGCTTCCTTTGCAGCTCTCTCGAAACACCTCGAGCCGCAGGCCCGCACCGAGTGTTCACATCGATCCTCGCCAGCACAAAGAGCGAACGCCATCTCCAAGCCGTTGCGCACCTCCACCTCAAGATTTTGAAACTGTTCAACCCACAAACTGACGTCTCGCACTTCAACCCCAACCTCCTCCTCCACAGGAATACCTGACCAGCGAAGGACAAGGAAAGCCAGCACGATCAAGGGACTCTTGATTCCGTTTGATGAAGCTGATCAGTGGAAAACTCTGCGGAGATACGCAGCCGTATGGTAAATGGATGAAGCGTGGCAAAGAAGTGGAAACCTACTGCTACCGTACCTTCGTCAGCACCTTCCATAAGGCGCGAGGATTCGCGCTGCTCATCTTCAGAGCCTGCTTGATCCAAGAAGTCGGCGTACAGTACGAAGGGATCGTGTGTACCGCGCAGCCAGACCTCAAGAACTGCATGAAGTGCGACATGTGATCAACTCCGAGTCCCGTACAAGGTACGAAGAGGTTGATGTCGCCGCTCAGCCAGTCCTAGTCGCTCTACCGAAGGCAACGAGATCTCCGGCACCCAAAAGGCGCTGTCGGTCACCGTCGAGAAGAATCCTCACACGAGCAACGCAAGGACCTCTATGCCAAGGTCCAGAACGCCCCAAGACTACCCCTTGTAAGCGACGGGAGTCGCTGGAAGACTTCGGCTGCAGTCGTGTCTCACAGAGAGCTCACATGAGCGTTCTCGGCTTGCCTTTGGAAAGTCACTCCTCCCACACCCATGAACAGCGTACCGGGAGTCCAGGACATCGTGAGTGATGTGGGTCGTGGCTAGGCTATATATGCAAGAATCTGATGATCGTGTTAGTGTACCCTGTTCCCACGTCCACGGTCTGCCATCCATCT